GGGGGGGGGGGGGGGGGGGGGGGGGGGGGGGGGGGGGGGGGGGGGGGGGGGGGGGGGCGTACTCACTGATTGCAACGCCTCAGCGGTTCGGCCACACGTCCTCGAGAGGACGGAGGTTTGGACCGATCAACGATACGGGGGGGTAACGATACTACGAACCCGCAGGTTGTCTTTTTGGCACGTGGTTTTTGAGGGATAGACTATGAGAACAGCAGTGGTCCGTCTCGCTTACGTTAAGTTTGCTCCGTCGTGGTGGATTACATGACTTGCCTGGGTGCTGTGCAGGCGCACCAGGTGCTACTCCTACTGCTGGCGCGTCCGTGCGTGCCGCTCTTTTCTGGCGGGGAAGGAAGTTTTTGTTGTGTGTATTTGTCAGCTTTTGTCGCGACATGCTTGTATATTCGAAGCAGCGGTAGCGGCAGGACGTCCGGTCGGCAAGCACCGCGTGAGAACCAGCAGAACGTTTCGAGTGGGTTGAAGGCGGAAACAGCAGCGGTGTCGCTAGGCACGATGTTGTTTGCGAAGCAGTACCGAACAGATATACCGGAGGTGTTGAACATGTATTACCTCTTTTTCAGAGGGCCCGTCGTGCGTCGGACCTTGGATTTTTTCACCTGTTTTTTTTGTTGCGTTGTCAAGCGATTGCCCGCGAACGGCACCGATCCCCAGCCAACTCAATGACATCAATCGTTGCCGTACTTTAGGTTACTCTCCTGCTTCCAACCAGGCGTCTTACGTCTTGCTCCCCTTCTTTTGTGCCGTGCGTTTTTGCCTATGACGAATTGATGCCCTGCTTCTTTCCTTTTCTTTTTTGCTGTCTCTCTCGCGCCAACCGACACGACCACCCTGCTTGCGTGCTTTATCCCCACACATTGTGTCTTGTTTGTGGTGTTTGGTTTGCTTCTGTTTTTGCTCTTGCGAAATCTGCAGGGGATTGGAGAGAAGTGGTGGTCGTACGTGAACGAATTCTTTTCCTCGTGTTCGGTCTCTGGTAACCGCTTCAACGACGAGAACTGCGTGGCGAGAGCTATGAAGGCCGCAGGCAAGTCAAGTCCTTCGCTCTTCATTTTAGTGTTTATGGGGTCTCCGCTGTTGGTATTGCGAATGGCTGTTGGTGGTGATGGTGGTGTTTGGTGTGGCGCCGCTGCTGCTGTGCAATGTTTTCACTGCTGCTGCTGCTTTGTCGGCAGGCTGCTTGGACAAGTATAGCCAAGTATGAAGCTTTGGGCCGATATTCTTTTTGCGATGGTCATTAACTCATGCCACAACTACGTGTTCAACTGGTGGTATGGTATTTGTACATTCCCCTTCGCTTCTTGTGTGCCGTTCGTTTTTGCAGAGGTGGACAAAACGGTCGTCGACCGGTGCATGTCCGACTCGGGCGGACTCGAAACGTCTGGCGTGAACACGATCCTCGAGGCGGAGCTACTCGAGAAGGTACTTTCATGCGTATGTTCATTGGTGAACTAATTTCTACCTGCGTACAGCAGTACCAGGATCGCGTTATTTTCTTGGCGTCCCGGCAAGTGATTGTTGTGCTGCCGTCGCTCTTGCCCCTCGCTCGATGGACGAGCTCCGATGCCGGGACACAGACATGATTTTACGCTTTGGGGCATGGCTTGACAGGTCTGGAATGTAGCCGGCTCGCGACTTTAAGTGTTTGTGGGTCGGAAGCGGCTATGTCTGGCTTTCTCTCCCTCTCTCTCGTTCTCCGTTATGGTTACATGTCCGGATACCCCCAGCTTAGGTGGGCCGGCTAAACGATTTGGGGGCGAGCCTAAATTGCTTGCATCTACAAACCATTCCATTCATGCTTCGCCCTGCCTTGGTTCACCTTTTAGGGAGCGAGCGTTGTGCAACAGTTGGTTGTAACCGTACCTGCTGCGCACGCCCCTGAAACGAGGCCCCAGTGGTGCACACAGTAATCACTGGCAACACCAATGTTTTCCTTCTTTTTTTTGTTTGCTTCAGGGCAAGAAGTCCATCGTCATCGTCCCGACGGTTTTCGTCAACAACGTGGCGGAGCGAGGAGGAATCAACACGGCGGCCGTGCTGACCACCATCTGCGCGGGCTACAAGAGCGGCACGGAACCCGAGGTACTCTACATACCTCAAACATACATGTTGTAGCTTCACGCTGCCTTCCTCATGAAACACCTCGGTTTCTTGGTTCGGCCTTGGGTATTAATTGACGTTCTGTCTGGAAGACCAACGGCACATCGCCCCGCGAGATGTCGAACGTGTTCCGCAGAGTTTTTATTTTGTCGTCAGCGCTCTCACTTTGTCGTTGTCGTTTTGGCATCTACGAGAACAAGTTTGTGCTTGCAAGATGGAAAGTTGGACACACAGGCGAATAATCGACATCCAGCGCGGAGCAGCAGCCTGCGGCAGCCAGCAGGTTTCGTCGACTTGTGTTGATTTTTCACGCACGACCGTTCACCACAATTTTGTGGCAGCGGTGTTTACTAATTTTACGGCCAAAAATCAACGTTCATGTTGTGCTGCTGCCGCCAACGCTGACGCCGCCCTGTCGACTTTGTCGGCGTCATCGATTGGTTTTGCGGCGTGGGAGCACTAATGTTGAGCAAGCGTAGGCCATTGAACAACGCGTCCTCGAGAGGACGGAGGATTGTGTTCCCACAGAGGTTCGTCAATGGCCGAGATCTCACGCTGACGTTGCTGCCACCGTTGTTGCCGGGTTTTTTTATTCGGCTGGGGGGGGGGGTAACAGATCTGCCGGTGCGCCGGGCAGCTGAGCAGCGAGCAGGTGGACGCGTGCATGAACAACAGGACCCTCGGGGGAGGGAGCGGCGGGATGTCGGCGGGAAACACCCTGTTCCTGCTCTTCGCCGTGGTCGGCGCCATGACGGCGGCGGGGTTCGTGCACTACAAGCGCACCCAGGCGCAGATGCGAGACCAGGTGCCTGTGCCTTGTGTGCGCGTGTGTGTTTGTGTGTGTGTTTTATTATTAGCATCGACCGTGCTAACCGGCTGACCAATGAAAAGACGTCAGTCTTGGTGCGGTTGAAAACACAAAACACTTCTATCTACCATGAACTGGGACCCCGTGAGGGGGCAGCATGGGTGTGTGTGTGTGTGTGTGTGTGTCTTTATTGCGTTGGCATCGACTGCGCAGAAGGACTGACCACTGAAAACACGCCAGCCTCTATGTCGTGCGTCTGAAAATCGATAATCTTGGTGCGCCTGAAATCAGGAAGCGTGTGTGTGTGTATTGTGGGAGGGTGTGTCTTGTGTTGTTAGCGTCGATCGGGGAATGTAGCCGGCCGGCCGATAACGTCAGTCTCTGTGCGGCTGAAAATAGAAATGTGTGTGTGTGTGTGTGTTTTTTTATTATTAGCATCGACCGCGCTAACCGGCTGACCAAT